CACCCAGGTGGTACCTCACTGGGTGTTTGTCTAAAAGGAAACACGAATCTCATTCCGCCATCTACAATATAACCGTCTCCCCAGCTCTTGACTTTTTAACAGTCAAACGTGTTTATTTTAACAAAGCGATGTGTGTACATGCAGTTAAAATATCAGCACCAAAAGGCTTAGGAGAAAAGGGATCAGTCTCGCCTGCCCGTCCCCACTTCCTTGTAGGCATTGCTTTCAACTCTTACATTGTCCCCTCTCTGCTACTTTATCTCTGTATTTTTAAATAATGTTATTATGCTACTTCTTCCTTTCCTTTCCTTTCCTTTCCTTTTCCTCTTCCTCTTCCTTTTCCTTTCTTTGAGATAAGGTCTCACTGTGCAGCCCTGGGTGGCCTTTAACTGCCAGTCCTCCTGCCTCAGCCTCAGAGGTACCAGAATTACATCTGGGCACCACCACGCCCGGCTACACTGCTTATTTACCGATTTACCTATTGTGGACATTTTATTCTTTTATAACCCCCACCCATCGGGCAGTAGCACAGATTTTTGGTAAATCATTGCTCAGTGTTTTACATACAATTACAGTGTAATCACTGGATACCACTGAATCAAATAATATACAAAAAGTATATTTTTTTGTACCACCTTCTGTTTTTCTTGGAATTAACCAAAGTTACTTCATGTACTAGGTTGTCCAGATGCTTGTAGATTTTTTTAATTATACTTTTGAAAATTTTCTTTTTAATTTTTAAATTGTTTGGTAAATTATTTTTTAAAGTAGGTTTATACCCATTGTTTCTACTTTTTTCCTGAAAGTGCCGACACTTTAGACCCTTGCCTACCCATTTCTTCTAAGTGCCGGGCTGTATCATCTCAGTCCCATACCCCATGATGGGCTGGGACCTTTTCTTCTGGCAGGCAGACCTGGAAGAGCCTCTGGCCTCTCACAGTCCTTCTAGGAGTTGATGGTTTCCTCCTTACCCACCTATTCGCCAGTTCTGCTGCTGTGCTCTAATAGCTTCCTAAGAAAGGGCCTCTCCAGGTAAACTCTTTCAAGTCCTTGTCTATCTCTTACCATCTCTCCTGTACCGCCCTTTCCCACTCGGTTGACAGTTGGTTTAGGTGTAGAATTCCAGCATTCCCGAGAATTCTTGAGGATATCATCCTTTTATCTTGTATTTCTCCTCTGCCTGCCGAGAAACCTGATGTATCTGATTCCTTTTCCCTGATAAGGGCCCTCTTCCTTCTCTCTACAGGTTGTCAGTGTGGTTCCTTTGTCCTGAGTTTGGTGGGACTCTGTTCTTTTGCTTCTGGGTGGGTCCTTTGCATTCACTCCTCCTTCACAGGGAGCTCCATTCGTATTTCTCTCTTTGGAACTTTGCTTAGTAGGATGTTATATTGCTTCCTCCATTTTCTTAGTTGTTTCTTAACATTTCATATAGTTTATCTTTTCATCTTTGTATTCTACCTTCTGGATTGTTTCCTCAGCTATCTTTGAATTTTTAACTTTAGTTATAACCTTTTTAGCATCTAATTTGTTCACAGTGTACCTTCTTCAAGCGTTTTCACAGTATTCTGTTTGTATTTGTTGTTTGCCATGTTTCCTTTGATTATAGGCTTGGCTGCTCTTCAGCTTTCTTGGTTTCCTCCTCCCATCTGTGCCACGCCCCTGAGCCTGAGGAGAGACTCCCCTGAGCCTGATCCTTTGTTGTTGGTTGATGCCTAGAAGCGAGGCTCTGGCTCCTGGTTGGAGCTCCTGGCTGGGTGGCCTGTTGGGTGGTGGGCTACATAGTGAGCACTGCAGCAGGACACCCATCGTCTGTGTGGGCATCCTCCCCTGGCACTCCTCAGTGTCTGCAGAGACAAGCCCTTCCTCTTCCGGCATTGGGGGAGACGTCCGGAAGCAGGAGGGAGGGTGAGCTGGGTGGTGGTGGGGGCACCCACTCATTATGCAGGTAGCCCTGTTTCTAATCTGGAGGTGCATGCTCTCCCCCACCTCCTTCCCCGTCTGCCTTCCCCCTGGCACCCTGAGCCTCACCAGCGCCCTTTGCAGAGATACTCCTGAGATGAGAGCGAGAGCTGGGGATCTCTCAGCTTTGCTTACGGACCTTGTTCTGGCCCACCCACTCCAGTCCTGAGCTCACTGCCCTCTTCCCCCAGCCCTGCCCCACCTCGGTAGTGTGTGGTAACTGGTGAGTCAACCTCCTCTGTACTGGCCCCCGAAGGCCCTTAGATTGTAGCCCCTTCCCCTTGCTAAATCCCACTTTTCCACAGCTCCAGGAATGTTGGCCTCTCTCTTGTGTTTTGTTCCTCTCTTGCTGTTTATTTTAGCAGGTTCCTACTTTTGCTGCTTGTCCTTTTAGAGAAATAATGGCAGGGAAGAGATCTTCCACTGCCCTGGTTATTGGGCCACCCACTCCTGCACGCTGGGAAGGCTAGAAAGAGAGAGGGAGGTGGGGCAAACAGTGTGTGTGTGTGTGTGTGTGTGTGTGTGTGTGTGTGTTTCCTATAATGTGCTCTAGAGGCACAGTGATCAGCAGCCGTGTGAAACATGGCGCATTGTTTTGGGAATAAGGCAGAGAACAGATGAGCCAACCAGAAGCACAGGTGACCTTAGTGCTGAAATAGGTATGTGCCTCACAGAGTAGCCATTTGGGGATGGGGAGAGGAGGAGCCTGGGTATTAAAGAGGTCCAAGTGTTCCCCTCAGTTCAGTGGGTTCAGTCTTAAAAACTTTATTTAAAAACATTCTTACTGCCTCACCTGGGTGGCTGGCAAGGTATGTGGCTTTTTATGCTTTGCTCTGATTCAGTGGTTGATTCCTTCCTTCCTTTAACAAATTTTGATCAAGCCCATCTGTCAGGCACTGTGCTTGGTGCAAGGGATAAAATAGGAAGCAGAAGAGGCATTGGGCTGGTCCTGGTGAAGCTCATAATCCAGGCCAGATGGCTGGGGGAGCGAAACACCACTCACACACATGTATTTGCCTTTGAAGACCAGATTGAGGTCCAGAGACGGAGAAGGCATCTCAGAGGACTGTGGGTGGGAGCCGAGCCCCACGGGACATTTTAGGACTTTTTTAATCCTGATGTTCAGGACGTAACTTTGAATACCTGGTTTGATGTCAGACCACAGTGTCTTCATGGTCAGCTGAGAAATGCTGGGCTGTCTTTGCAGCTGCTCTGTGGGGTGCTTATGCATGGGGTACCTCCTACAGCCCAGCAGTGACTCCAACAGGACAGTATGTCCACAGTACACAGGTGGACATGGAACTTCCGAAGCCTCTGGGCTTCCAGTTCAGGTCTGCTTAGGGATTCTGCCTGCCTTTTCCTCAGCAGGGCTTTGGTTCTCCACCCCATGACCTGCACCCCAACCTTCCCCAGCCTTCCTGGTCCACCTCACACTCTGCCTTTTGTCTTAAAGACAGTTAGCTCAGAGGAGGACCTTTGTGTGCCTGGGTGGGAGAGGAGGCGCCTGGGTCCATCTGTGGCAGGGGAAAGGCCAAGACCACAGCCTACAGTCTCATACTTTCCTGGAATCTCGATGTGGGTGCGACAGGGAGAAAACCCACTTACAAAGCCTCACCCGCTTCTTCAGAGCGTGGGGGTCGCAGCATGCGAGCTCCTAAAATTATCTCCATACCAGTCCTCCTTCAGCTTTCAGGTCAAAGAGGTTTACATACTCAGCATAAGGGCCTTTTTACCCCCAGTCCTTATATTTGTTAATTTACAATTGTTCTGTGTGAAAAACAAGTGTTTTTTTCCTAATGTCAGCTGGCTTTTCAGCTTTTCTTCCTTGGAGAGCGTAGACTCCAGGCATGTCCCAGGGAGCCCCCGTGGCCGCACCCAGGGCCTGTCAGGGTCAGAGACTATTGACATGTAGTGCGGTGCCCGTGTTCAGTGTGCACGGGATGGGGCCGGATCACGGCCTTGGGTAAAGAAGGGAGCTGCTCCCAGCAGTTTGTCAGAATGGCCGGCAGCTTGTCAGATCAAGGTCTAGACCCAGGGAAAGCCTCAAAAGGACAACCCCAGACCAGTCCAAAAGCAGACAATTGAAGACCCCTTCTGATATGTTCTGAAACGTGGGGCTGGCCTTCCCTTTATGGGCCTGGCGCTGTGTGGAAGGTTGATCCCTTGTCACCCGGTGCCGTGATGTCACATTGAGCTGCTGGGTGAGAACACAGACCCAGCTCTGGCCGCCTAGTAAGACAGCAGCCTGGAGAGAGAGGAAGGAAGAAAACAGCAGGCTCCTCCGGCCCTCTGCTCCTCCCTCCACTCACCCTCGTGAGCTCAGCATGCACATGATTGTGCCAGCACCCGAATCCAGTCCAGTCAGGCAGATCAAAACCGGCTTCACCCTTGGACATTTCCTGGAAGAGAATTTCTACAGCTGGGTGTGAGAAAATGGCTTCCCTAGCAAGACTAGAAACAGGGAACTGATTGTTTTTATTGTTCCACCATGAGGCAGTTTCTGACCTCGAATTCCGCTTTCAGGACTTGTAGCCAAAAGATGCAGTGCAGAGCCAGTTTTCCTGACCCATTTCCTCCTGAACCCCTTGGTGGAAGCGCCCCGCGGCCCCCGCCAGGTCAGAGGCAGTATCAGTCCCCCGCAGGCAGCACCCCCCAGGTGCGTTTCACACACCATTGGGCCTTCCTGTGCACCCTGCGCCATCCCCGGAGTGTGTGGTAATGAACAACTGATGTGCTGACTTCCCAGCCCCTTCTTCGTCCATTACAACAAAAGTTGCTCTTTTCTCATTAGGACCATTTTTGTCAGGGTGTCTTTAATCAATGGCTTCCCCAGGGACAATATTTTTAGAAGTTGTATTTTTCACACTCTCCCTTTTCCCCTTTTGGAAGCTCTCTCCTCTCTGTGCCTGGTGAAACGAACTAATGAGACGCCATGAGAGTTCGGGCCGGTGTTAATTGGAACAGGTACAGGGGAGCGGCCTGCGCACACCTTCAGTTCCATCTTGTCTTAGCTGCGATCTTCTTCTGTCTCCCCGGTGCAGGTCGCGCAGACGGCAGATGGTGTGGACGCTGACCTCTGGAAAGACGGCTTATTCAAGTCCAAGGTTACCAGATACCTGTGTTTCACAAGATCATTTTCCAAAGAAAATGTAAGTCTAGTGGTAGTTTCCATTTGCTGAGTGAGCAGGAGTAATATATATTCCTGCTCAGAATTTTCTCATTTTTTTTTTGTTGTGGTTTATTTTCATTGCCTTATTAATTTATCTATGGTTTTAGTGAACTGGGTGGAATCAGCAGCCAGCGCTGTGTTTCATTTATTAACGGTGTTATTAACCACGTACCCAAGTGTACAGTGAATTCTATTAAAATGTGTTCTCCAAAGGAAACCAGAAAATTTCTCTCACAGCTCTCATTTGCCTACCTTTCCTCCAAGTGACAAATCACAGGCCAGTATGGATGTGAGAGTCATCCAGTGGATCTGGGTTTAATGCAGCCCCAATGAAAGGAGAACTCACATCACACACACACACACACACACACACACACACACACACACACACACATTCATTCCCAGTCCCAGGCCTGCCTTTGTTTTGAAGAGGATTTTTTTTTTTAACTCAGAGTCTCTATGTGACAGGACATTTCGTTATTTTTGTACGTAAGTATCTATATGTGCACATTTCTTAGTATGCTCTTTTTGGTACCTGGGCCCATAAATTAGGAAACTTTAAAGAAATCCACTAAGGCTTTCCTAGTAACGCGTTTCAATGGGTGGTTTAGAAGAAAGGGAAGCAGCTTTAGTGATCTCCTACCCTGCAGAGGCTGCCCTGGGCACTCTGCACATGTGAGTTGCTCTCTCCATAGGCACTGGCTCCCGGTGTTGCCCCCTTTCCTTAAAGGATGACATGAAGATCTGAGAGTTTAAGGCTTGCTATAAGTCAGTGGTCTTCACTGACCCCAAATATATTGAGAACAGTCAGATGTTTCATTTGTAAGGGGGATGTTTTCCTGTTGGTTTAAATGCTTGTGTGTCTTTCTAGCGTGCATAATTATTTTTTGAAATATTTTTACCAATTCTTAATGTTTTTATGTCTGTGGTTAGAAGGGAAACCAAGGGGACCAAGAAAGGCAGGGAGAGGAGAAGGGAGCGTACAGGAAATTAAGATGTTTTATGTACAGATAGCAACTCACCCAGTGAATGTAATCCTTATGTACTGCAAACATGTACTAAAAAAAAAATTTAAAAATTAAAAGAGAAAACCAAACCAACACAAGAATGTCATACATCCTCATTCAGAAGTCTGAAAGGGGAGAAATCTTCCTCCCTACCACAACCCCTGGCCAGAATCTGTCATGGGTCCCTTCCATGTTTGCTGAATGTGGACCTCTGGCTTGCACCCTTCCACCACCCTTTCCTGTTGTTTGTTGATGATGCCGTGTTAGGAGAATTATTCCTAATGTGCCCAAGACTTTCATTTTTTCCCCCCTAATTACAGGAGCAGTGTATTTGCTTATTATGAAGGGCAGTGCTTATGGAGTCAGGCAAAGTCTAAGTGCTAAGATTAGGAAGTCTTTTTAATACAGGGCGTGAGGGCATCTTCAGTACCAGGAAGGTGGTGGCTGAGCTGGAGCGTTCGTCTGTGCCTTGAGCTTGCTGTGCGTTGTGCCAGTCCCTGGGGTTCACCGTGGTCTGAGGAGACACCAGGTCTGAGGGTGCTGTTGCCCTCCCAGATATTGGGCTCATGAGGTCATCAACCTCCACGAGCCATCCTTCCTGCCCACACCTCCCCCCAAGGCACCCCTCCAACCCTTTTGTCCTGGAACTTACTCAAGCTCTTCTTTGAGACTAGTTCTGATTAGAGGTTTTGTCACCTCTGTTCTGTGCACTGGCCGCTGCTTCCTGGGGAATGTCAGCGTCCTCATCACTGCCTGGCCTGTGAGGAGGAACTCCCAGGCCACCTGTCTACACACTGTCTCCTCTTGTGGTTTCCATGTGTTTCTCCCTGGTGTCTTCACAGCCTTCCCTGGCCAGAAGAGGCTCTAGTTCTGCAGCCTCGGAGGTCAGCCACCATCTCTGTGACCATTTTTGGTTTTGGTTTTTGTCTTATTTTCCCCCAGAAGGCTGTTGGGTATTAGTTCTATCTCCCCAGGGGTGGGGACAGTTACAAGTCCAACACGGCAGAGAGCAGTCATTGGGGCTTGTTAGTTTTGGGTATCTTGAGTCAGCACTGAGAGCACATTGATTCTGCGAGCATTTGTTGACATTAAAGAGCCCTGTATGGGGCAGGATGGAGGGATGGGAGAGGAAGAAGGGCGAAGGCAGTGGGGGTCATCCCGCCTCACTCTCGAGCCATGTGACAGGGCGGTGTTTTTGAAAACAAGAATGAATGAGTCCTAAACGATCAAGCCAGAGGATTGAATTTGATTTGGGATCAAATCAGAGGGATAACAGGGGCCCATTTGCAGCTCAGGAGCGGGACGCATTTTAATCCCTGGCATCCGGTTTGTCCCAGCCGTGCAGTCTGAAGCAAGGGTTTGCAGAACATAATTTTTGCAGTTGTGCGGGAGGGTATGGGATCTCAAGACTGGGCAGATTCTTAATTAGGCAACTTGAGACTCCCAGCGTAGGAGTTTGGGAGCCTCCTTTGGAACCTAAATTCTTTTCCCCCAATAATGCTATTAATATAGAAACCTGGCTTTGGAGTGACATTGCTTCCTGGGGAAAGATCGAGATTAATTGCACTTTTCATGCCCTGTACTTTCTGCATTACCTGTAATAATAATGTACATAGATTAGGTAGGGAGGATATTAAACAGAAGGATTTATGAACATTTGAATATTAAGTTGGTTATCTGTGGCTACCTTAAATGCAAGGTTGTCAAAAATAATTACAGTATACTAGCAAATACTGGCTACCAGAGACAATATAAATACCCTGAGTCAGTGCATATTGGGCTTTTGGCATGAATCATTTGCTCAACAAGGATTGGGAATACGTTCTTCATATTTATGAGGAGGAAATGAAAGAGAGCACAGGTGGGGGAGGGGAGAGGAACAAGCAAAATTAATGGTGTCGCAGACCTACAGGATTAAACTCTGTGTAGCAGCAAGGAGGGCCACACTTGGGCTGCGGGAAGCTTCGACGGCGGAGCCTCCCATTTTGCACGCATGAGAGGGTTTCCCGATGGTTCTTTTAATGGCCGCACCACTGATGTTCTGGTTTTATGATCAGGGATGTTAGTAGAGAGTGTAGAGGGTGAGATCGCTAAGTGGTTTGCAGTTGACTTCTGTGAAACCCAACTTGTCAAGCAGAAGACGTTTGAGAAGGGTATTGATGAATGCCCATCCATCTACAGGGCAGCAAAACATGCCCAGTTGTTAATTTCTCAATGCAGAAAGCAGTGATGACATGGAAAAGCAACTGCTCTGAAAAAAAAAAAATTATGATAGATTAGATCAGGCGATCGTGAAAGCAGCTGATGTTTGCGAGTTAGGCTAACTGTGCAAGCCCTTCCTGTGCGGTCAGAGATTTATTCCACGTTAGGGAGGGCTCCGCTTTCCACTTGCTGTGCTGTGCATTGTCTTCCTGAGTCCCAGCACCTGAGATGTGATAATATGAAATCGCGGGCAAATACCAGAGTGCTGAGAGAGAAAAACGGTTTCGTGATGGCAGGGCCACGAAAACACTGGCCAGAGGTCACGCTTGCCTCGTTGACCTTCATATTTCAATTTGAAGAAGTTACTCATTTGTGCACTTCGGATTCATGATGTATTTATTAAACATGCTTCCAGGATTTTTATGATATGGTTTAGATTTGCCGTCCGAGCAAATCTGATTTGATTTCTGCTTCTCAGAGACCACCCCATTGAAAAATATACCCAAAACGTTAGTTTATTCAGCAAATAATTATTGAGCACCTAGTATGGGGCAAAAACAGTGCCAGGCTTGGGTTTACAGTAGGAGCAGAGATAATTTCGGTCCTCATGGTTCTTAAGCTCCAGTGGAGAGACAGATATTAAACAAATAACCTTACAAATACGTGATTATACACTGACATGAAGGAAACCAGGGAGTGCCCAGAGAGAGGCTGGCTTAGTTTGCTCGGTGAGAATTCCCTGCTTGCTCTCAGAGATGTCAGCACCACCCAGGTGGAGGTGGGGTCTGGGCCCCCAGGCATAGAGACGGAGATAGGGACCCCTCTCTGAGAAGTGGGAACCATGACCTGAGAGGTTGCCGCTAGGGCGGAGGGACAGGCTGACCCTCTGGTGTTTGTGCAGGGAGGCAGGCAAGTATGAGAGCGAGGGCTGTGCACGCTGGGCCTCAGGGATGAGGCGCTTCTGGAGAATGGGTGTGCGGAGTGCGGCGCAGTACCCTAACAGGAGAGATTTGGGATCAGAGCCCATCATTCTTCCCCTAACTGGCTCTGACTAGAGACAGCGGAACTAGGCTGCAGACAACTCTGAAGATGTTAATGAAATCTCCACGGTGGCCCCGTGTATTTACATTACAGGGCACATTTCTTCGGGCTGTTTCCAATGTGAAAGGCAGGCTGCAAGTGCTGGTGTGTTCACAAAGAATTCTCTCTTGCAATTACCGAATGGTGCTGCACTGTCTTTGAAGGCTGTTTTTACACTGGTTACAGAAACTGTGCACGGTGGACCCCATATACTGCCACTAAATAGGAGCTTTAAGATGCCTTGTGCGTGTCGTTTTAGAGGATGTGTAATACTGAGGCAGCCCAGCTTTCACTGTGCATTAGTTTATGATTCTTAGGATTTTGCAAAATGTATCTAGCCACCAAAATGTGCGTCAGTATGAAGAGCACTGATCACTTAGGAGTATGATTGGTACCTGTTGGTTTAGATTCAACTTGCCCTTGCAAGTGCCCCAGAAAGCTACTGTTTCCAAAGCCTCCTGGCCCTGAGATCGGCCACTTGGGGCTGAGGGGTGGCCACGTCTGGGGACTCGCGTGCACAGCTGCCCTCTGCTGGGTCATGTCTGCAGTGTCTTCTGGGTTGTTTATCCAGCTCACAAAGGCCACGTGTGAGTGAGTGGCTTTGAGGTTCTGCAGATGAAACTCCTTCCCGGGGGCCACTGGAGTGCCTGTGTAACCGCTGGGGGACATTAAGTGTCACCTCCTCTAATTAACCTGCCGTAGTAAAGCCGCATGAGTCACTATGTTAAATATGCATCTTGAGGGCAGAATGGCAAACCCACTGCAGGGGTTCACATTAATAGTCTGTATCTCTTTTCTTTCTTCCCAAGAGTCATTTGGGGAATGTGTTAGTGGACATGAAGCTCATTGACATCAAGGACACACTGCCCGTGGGCTTCATCCCCATCCAGGAGACGGTGGACACACGTGAGTCACGCCTAGCACTGCCCATCACATGAAAGTCTCCTTTCTCAGGTGTATTGAAAAGTACATTTTATGGGTGTTGTCTTTGGAAAACATTTTAGGAAGGCTCACCGAATGCCCCTGAATAAAGCCTGCTGCTTCTGGTGCCCATCCCTGTGGGTTCTGCGAGGGGTTTGCAGCTGTTCTGGGCTGTGGCATGGAAATAAATAGAAAGGGTCCCTTGCCCTGAGAAGGCGCCTCCTGCCTCAGGATCCCTTGGGAAGGAGCCTGAGCCTGGTGACAGCTCGTCTTTCGTCCCCTGGTGTTGGTGAAGCCAGGCTTGGTGCAGGGCCCAAAAGCAAAAGGGGGAAAAAGAAATCAGAAGACGCATCACCACTATAAGTGCAAGGGTGGGCCCATTTGGGGTCCACTGAGCAAGCAAGGAAAGTGAAGACAGAACGACTGCAGGTTAGCGCACACAGGATTTGAATCGGAGCAGATATTCTGACCACTGAGCAATTCTGAGCTGAGCAGAAGCGAACTGCGGATGACAAAGAAGCTGCTCTGGGACCCTGGGTGCCTGGGTTTTCTGACCCTGCCATTGTGGCCATGGGGTGGTGAAAGGGACCTGGAAAGCCACTGGACATGTGAACTTCCTCATTGCATGAAATATAACTTGTTTTATTTTGAGTGACTCTTCAGCCAACTCTGCATAACCATAATGATGAAATAGGAAATAAAAAACATAGAGGCCCTTTTTCTGTGGCATAGGGTTTATTTATGAAATTCCTTCTCTTGTTCTTTGCCATGCATATTTTTATCTTCCTATGGTTGATCCCACTTTGGACCACTCTTTGTCTGCCATTTTCGTACAAGCATTTCACGCTAAACAGATTTTCCATATCTACACGGACCTTCACCACAGCTGTTACTTTAATAAAGCAAGTAAATCCCATTATTTAGCATGTTTTTATTTTCTTGATGGTCTCCTCACTTTCAGACATTGGGTTGCTTTTTATCTGTCAGTATTTGTATTAGCTAATAATTATAATAACTGATATATATCATATGTTTTCCATGTGCTAGCCTCTGTGGTAAATGGTTTACATATATGATACCATGTTGTCTTCAGAAAAACCTCTCTTTAGAGATGATATTATTATACCCATTTTACACATGAGAAAAATGAGGCATAGTAAATGCTCGGGGATTAAAGAACTTAGCCAAGGTCACACATACAACACACATACCCCTGTGTGTAACTAGGATACACATATATACAAGTCTGTCACTCACCACTTTTATTTCCTATAAATGGAAACATGCTATTTGTAGTCTTTTTTTTTTTTTTTTTTTTTGAGACAGGGTTTCACTATGTAGTTCAGGCTGGTCTTCAACTTGCTTATATAGCCCAGGCTGGCCTTGAGCTCATGGTGATCCTCCTGCCTCAGCCTCCTGAGTGCTGGGATGACACGTGCACACCACTATGCCCTGTGTGTCTGATTTCTTTCCCTTAGCATAATGTTTTCAAGGATGGTCCATGGTGTGGCATGTTTAGTACTTCACTCTTCTTTTTTGCCAAATAATGTAATTTTCTATGGCTATGCCATTTTCTGGCTATTCATTCAACTGATGAATATTTGGGTTGCTTTCACTTTTTGGCTTCTCTAAATAATGGTGCTCTGATGATTCACATGCAGGGTTTTGTATGGACACATGTTTTTTGGTTCCCTGGAGGCTATAGAACTGTGTGGAGTTACCTGGTCATCTACAATCTTTGTTTCACTCTTTGAGGGATTGTGGCACTGTTTTTCAAAAGAGCTACACCATTTTACATTTCACCATCAGCTATGAGACTTGTGATTTCCCCACAGCACAACGCTTGTCACCCACCATTTTGATTCCTGCCATCCCCAAGGGCATGGAGTGGCATCACCTTGTGACTTTGCTTTGTATTTCCCTGCAGCCGCTGTGCCATTGGCCATTTGTGTATCTCCTCTGGAGAAATGTCTATGCTGACACATTACTCATTTTTTAAGTGGATTGTCTTTTTGTTACTGAGTTGTAAGAATATTTTAATTAGAAATTCCTTACACGGTTGGCAAAAAATTTCACCCATTTCATGGGTTTTCTTCCCATTCTCTTGATGGTATCTTGTGAAACACAAAATTTCATCTTCTTCAGAGTTCTACTTACAGACTTTTTCCTTTGTTGATGCTTCTCATGTCATACATTAGAAACCATGGCTTAATCTGTTGTATTTTATGCCTATATTTTCTTGAAGGAGTTTTATAGTTTTAGCTTTTACACCTATGTCTTAGATCCCCTTTTAGTTAATTTTTGTGAAATAGAGTCCAACTTTATCTTTTCACATATCCATTTGTCCCAGCACCATTTGTTGAAAAGACTCTTCTTTTGCCCTGTTGAACTCCCAGCATCCTTGTTGAGTATCAGTTGCCTGAAGGTAGGAAGTTTTATTTCTGGACTAGGCGCTCTCTTCCGTCTATCTTTCCTTATGTAAGTGCCACATACTCTTGATTATTGTACCTTTGCAGCAAGTTTTGAAATGAGAAGTATGACTCCTCCCACTTTGTTCTCTTTTAAGAATCATTTTGGCTATTCTCCTGAATTGCCACATGAATTTTGGGATTAGCGTGTCAGTTTCCGCAAAGAAACCAGCTGCGATTTTGATAGGTGCAATGTTGAATCTGTCAATCGGTTTGGATATGTATGGGTTTTGAATGACTTCCTTGTGATACATGTCCAAGTACTTGAGTCTGCCAGGTCCTCCACTGTCTGCTGCTACCCTTGCTCACCAAACTCATCCTGGACCTTCCACAGACCCAGCCCTTGCTGTGCTGTCTTCACGCTTCTTTCTCGTCTGACTCCAGTTATTTGGGGTGCTGTTTTCCCTGCCTGCAATGCCTGTCCCTCTCTCACACTGCCCACATCCTGCGTCCTGGGATAAGTGTCAGTGAGTGTCACCTGCTCACTGGTCCTAGGTTCCCCTTTGAAGGCAGCTCACACTCCTCCTCTCAGAATCAGGGCCGCGCACTGCCGACTTCAGGCTAGAGGCATGCACAGAGGCTGGTCCTCCCCTCAGGGAACGTGGTCCAGGGGAACCAGGCCTGCCAAGGACTTGCATTACCACCTGACAGACAAAACGACTGTGCTGTGTCACAGGGAGGGGCAGAAGTGACCATGTGCAAGTCATAGTGGCAGAAGCCAAAGAAATGCTCAGCTCTGCCTCAGATTCCTGTCTTTCCCTGTGTGGAGACAGACTGACACTTGGTGTGGAGAAGCATGGATCTGGAGTCCATCTTGCCTCGTGTTTGTTTAGCTCTGCCACTTACAACTGTGGAACCCTGGGTGAATCCCATCATCCTCCTGGACCTCGGTTTCCTTACCTATCAAACGAGAGGACATTACCTGCCTCATAATGGTGCTCGTCACTTGCATTATAGCCATTAGGTGTTTTAGTCAATCCTTTGTTACCTATCTCTCTCTTTGAGGACAGTCTGTGTTTACTTCATCTCTGAATTACCTGAGGTACCGCCCCACCCCTTGCCTTGCCTATCACATGGCCTCTGTGAAGATAAGCTTATCTGTTGCTCTCTGTGGCCAAACTGACACCCAGAAATGCGGGTTTACGTTTCCGCTAGTGGTACAGGCTCCCTATAAAGGCTATGCCTCCCAGCATAGGTTTTCAAACCTATATTTAGTTTTACTGTTTTAATTTATGCTTCATTTTTACTTCATTGTTTAGTAGCAAGACTCAACACTTTTGCAAGTATTTGCTTGCTACTTTTGCTTATTATGTCCACTTATCAACTAAAGTTGTCTTATAGACTTGTATTACTTTCCCACTTTCCCCCGTGCTTTAAGTAGTTGTACAATATGCCTTGATTTTTGTTTCTGACAACTCATGGGCGTGGGCTGTCCTTACATGGAGGCACTGCAGGGCCACAGGCTCCTCTCATCTCCGGCTGAGTGCTGCTGGCTGGGCCCACTCATTGTCTGGCGGTGGGCTGGGGACCGGTGCTCCTCTTTGGGAAGCCTGGCCCCCGTCTCAGGGCTGCGTCGGTTATGTCTGTCAATGGACCGATCATACAAGAGGGCGGGTGGGGGCAGCCTTTTCATTCTGGTCACAGGGCCGTTTCCCAGGAGAGCCTTATGGTCAGCCCTGTGTTGTGGGAGAGTATTTAAGGCCCTGATTTCATACAGTCAGCCAAAAAGATGAGACTCCTGTAATTAATTTAAAATATAGTTTAGTACCATCATACAGCACTTAAAAACGGGAAGGTTGTTTGTTTTAGTAAAGTGCTGTGTACTTTCCCTGTGTTCATTAGCATGAGTGAACACATTTCTATTGACTATGTATAATATGTTTACTTAAAATTAGGCCTGCTTAAGCATGTGTAATGAGTGGCTCCATCCCTTACCCTGCGCATGCCGCAGAGGGAGAGATGGAAAAGCCACGAGCAAGTTGAACACCTGTGTTTGGTTACTTGGAGAAAGGTCTCCCCTTGCCCCACTTTCCAAGGCTGATCTTAGTGGCTAATAATTTCTGAAGGTACGGGGTTACCCTGGGCACTCCTCTCCCAAGAATGCTATTCCCACCTTACTAGGGACAGTGTTTGGGATCTGGATTCAGATCTTGTGTAGTCCTCAGCTTCTACACCCGGGAAAAGGACTCACAGCATTTCTAGTTTCAATCTGGTCTTTTAAAAAAAATCTCGCCCTCCACCCAAAAAACAGCAACCACCAAACAGTACCACTGATTCTATCCTCATTGAACATGCAGGTGGGGCTACCACCCCCTCATTCACTCCTTGCTTTAAATGGGCTATAAATGTTCACATTTTCTACCACAGAATGGGAAGGTCTTGAAGGTCAATACCAAGCAGGGACATCAATTACGTACTTGGAGCGGTCCTTGTCATTTTGATAGTAAGCTCCCTCATGGCTGTTCTTTGCTGAGCACTTACTATGTGCCAGGCACTGGCTGAGGGAATCGAGTGTTATCACCTTGTGTCCACCTGAAGTCCCTTGGGGTGAGGCGTCACCAATCCCTTTTACAGATAACAAAACGAAGGTCTAAAGGACTAAGTAACTCTCCTAAGAGCACAGTACCAGAAAATGGCAGAAAGGTGGCTTCAACTCAGACACCACGGACTCATGGGTTGTTTGAAAAGAGTATTCAAAACCACAAGTGGACCCACCTCACTGGTCAGCACCGGCATTTGCAAGGGCACCAGATCATTGTGCTTAGATTTGACAAGTATGAGAAAAGAATCACACACTCTGCCTGTATAAACCTACTTCAGGGAGACTATGAAGTGGATGAAGAAAAACTGCTTTTATGTCGAAGAATTCCAGCTAGTCAGTGCAAAAGGGAAGGCAGAATTAGAAAGTCACCATCCTGAAACCCTTGTAGAAGTATGGACCTTAGCGTTTGTCACCTGCGGAGGAGAAAACTGCTCCAGGAGTGGCAGTTGGAGAACTCAGTGACGGAGGTCCCAGGCTGACAGTTCAGGAACCCAACCGAAGGAAGTGACTCTGTGATGTGATACGTGGGGAGGACACAAGCCACCTGTCAGCTTGTCAGCTCAAAGAACCAGCCTGAGTCTAATCCAGCCTTTAGCTCTCTCACATTACTGCAAGCAAAAAGGGGTGGCCGCGTCTCAGCAGCACGTCAGTGCCCTAAAGAACAAGGGCGCGGGCAGCAGAGAGACCTGACCAGCCAAGGCAGGGCACAGACGTTACCTGAGTCTTGATCCACACAAATCAACAGTACAATGACATCCTGAGCTCTTGGAGAAAACTCAAATGGAGCCCATCTGTTGGGAGTTATGACGCACTTTTGTTGATTTCATTAGAAATGATAATGGCATGGTGATCGTGTTGGCAAAACCATCAATCGCAGATGCCTTCTGAGACAGGGCTGGGGCGCACAGTGTGGTGTTGGGGGTTCACTTGGAATGTTGCAAAGCTAGAGAGATGGGGGAGCTACAGAACCAACCTGTCCACTCTCGCTGTGCTCAAAGTGGGGGCAGGAGCATGTGTGGATTCATTTTGCTGTTCCCTCTTTTTGTAGTATGCGTGAAGATTTCTGTGCTAAAAAGTGAAAAAGAAAGGTCCATGTAGGGGAACTGTTGAACCTCAGAAGCTGCCCTGGGGCTTATTGCAGAGACTGTGGGCTCCTTCGGGTCCTGGTCCTGAGGTCCTGACCTTAAACCTAAGCTTAGCGCCTCTCAGCTGGTATGTCTGGGGTCAGGTTGGGCACGGGGCAGGGTGACTGACACACCCCGTTGTCACAGCTTGTGCGCCGAGCCCCGGGGAAGGCAGGGGGTAGAGCACAGCCCTTCTGTCGGGTGGCCAGGGTAACCCATCACTTCTGCCACTGGGAAGGGGACATGCGGAAGACGGGGTTTTCAGAGCAGAGAATGGCATCGCCAGAGACTCACATCTTCCCTGTTGTCCTTTCCTGCAGAGGAGGTAGCTTTTAGGAAGAAGAGGCTGTGCATTAAGTTCATCCCCCGGGATTCAACCGAAGCTGCCATCTGCGACATTCGGATCATGGGCCGGACCAAGCAGGCGCCTCCTCAGTACACGTTCATTGGGTGAGTCCTAGGGACACTGTTCTTGGCTGCTGCTTTCCCTGGGGTGCTCAGGTCACTCCTGAGGATGCAGTCCGAGAACTGTGTGAGGTGAGAAGGCAGAGCTGCTGGCCCAAGCAGAAGAGTCAGTGGGAAGAGGGGCGGACGTGCCATGTTTCAGGGCCGGGGAGCAGTGTGCATTGCTGGACAGCGCAAGCAGGGACAGAGCACTGCGGCTATGGAAAGTGACAGAGCCTTCTGGGATATGGTGGCTGCCTGGGTTTTATTCCAGGCACCCTAGGCATCCCCTGGAGGGTTCTGCTCTTGGAAGAAACACAGATATTGCATGCTCCCTGGAACCTCGCTATGGGTTTTCAGTCAGATGTTTGTCTTCCCAGGGAGAGGAAACTGCTAAGCCAGGGCCCACTCATGTCCGTTCCCTGCAAGCCTCAGCATAGGACCAAGGTCTGACCCTGTGACTACTGCATAAATACGAACTGCAGTGGAATCTCAAGATCTCACTCTTCACTTCTTTAATTGTGACAGAAAACCCAGTCCAGACTGGCTTCAATTAAAGCAAGGTTCTGTGAATGGCATAACAGAAAAGTTCAGAGACCAGATTGGCTTCCAGTTGCTGGAACCAAGAACTCAAAGGATGCCTAGGACTTAGCTTCCCTGTCCCCTCCTTGCTCTTGGTCCTCCAAGAGGACTGCCCCTGACACCTGATCTCCCCAGGGAGCCATGGTGGGGCACCTTTCCTCAAGGTTTAAGTCCAGAGGCACAGGGTAAAGTACATTCCAGGTGGTTCACACAGAAGTTCTAGAATTCAGTCTCAGTCATGGCTGATCCAGCTAGGGTTGGTGCACCCTGAACTGGTCAGTGCTATCTGGAAACTGTCCCCTGATTAACCAGGCTGAGCAGGAAGCACAGTCAGCTCCATCGGAACTCAAGGACAGTCAGGGAGGGTGTGGCTGCCCCCAAAATAAGGAGGTGAGGTAGAGATCAGAGTGGAAACTTGGGTCTCCCAGGTGAATCTGTGGCAGGTGGCCTGCAGCCGGGTTGGCTATGTCCCTCCTCCTCTAGCCACACTTTGCAGGCATCACACTTGTCACCAGGTGTGTTCTTAGGTGGTCCAGAGGTCGGCCTCCTGGGTCTGTTATGTATTCTGCTTCATTCTTGCTCATTTGAGCTGAGAGCTGCCTTTGACTCTCCAGGACAGGCCCTTTCCTCCTATGCCAGACACGGATGAGACCTGCTGTGAGGCCGAGGAGTAGGGAGCAGGCACTACAGAAAGGGAGAGTCATGTCCTCCTCATACACTGCAGTTTCTTTAGACTCTTCAGCTATGGGACCCAAATGCTCTGAATGAAGATTTTGTGGTTCTTAAGGACTTGGAGTCCCTAAGTTGCCCAGGCTGGGCTTGAACTTGCCATCCTTCTGCCTCAGCATCCCAGAGTACTGAGTTTACACATGTACCTTGTCTCACGATTTAAGAAGGGCTGAGGATGTGGCTCAGTGCCCTGAGTTCAATCTCCAACACAAGAAGAAGGTGGAGGAGGGGTCGGGGATATAGCCCAGTGGCACAGCACCTGCCTGGGAAGCCCAAGGTTGTGAGTTTGATTCCTGGTACCAAAAAAAAAAAAAAAAAAAAAAGTGGAGGAGGAGGACAACAATAATGACTCAGGCTGGGCATGTATGTAGCTCAGTAGAGCACAGGCTTAGCATGTGTAAGGATCTCAGTTCAGTCCCTACACCAAAAAAAAAAAAAAGGGAAAATAAAAGAAAGACCCTGTGGTCATTCCCTTCCTGTACTGTACACTCAAAAATCCTGTTCTGCAGCACAGTTTAATTATGCAGACAGTATTGCAGGAGTAGGAAATAGTTAAGAGAATAACCACAGTTCAATAACTTGGATGCAGCCATTTACATACAAATAGTAGAAGCCAACAGTTTAGTAATGAACTCTTCAAGTCCAATTTTAGTAACTGTGTGTATTTTAACCATAAACCATGCTATTGTAAAAAGATGCAATTTTAACCAATTTAAACAATTCTAAAGTAATAGATTTTTACCAATATTTGTCTTGATCATCCAAACTGGAATTTTTTCCTTGATATTATTTTGGAAAGACTGTTAATGTATTGTTTAATTTCATCTTGGGCTAAAAATTCTTTTCCAGAGGAAGAATTCCAGAGTTATTTTTAAATAAGGAAAGAGAATTCCATATTTCCAGTTCTGTGTCATTTATTCTTAAAAACAGGTACCATTCCACATGTCACTGAGCAGGGACATGGGGATACCTACAGGAGTAGGGTGTGGGTGTAGACACCTCAATTCAAAAGGGCTCCTCCAAAGCCTGGCAGTCTGGATCATGACTCCGTGAAAGGTGGGTAACTGATCAGAATTGACAGAACTGAGCTTTAGAAGAGTTGCTGGGGTATACTGAGAAGCTTACCAAGAAATAAAAATTTTAGTGAGTTTTTTGAAGGGATGCTATTCATTTGCTTCTGGTCTGAAAGACACAGTTCTGTGGGGGTGTTGTGAAGCTATCTGTGGCTAAAATCATCCTGGTACAACTCCTGCACAAGGTATACCTATACTCCCAGCATTCTAGGAGGCTGAGGCAGGAAGATGGCAAGTTCAAGCCTAGCCTGGGCAATTTAGGGACCTCAAGTCCCTATCTCATAAGCACAGCTGCAGCATGGGGTCATGTGGCTGTCAAGCCTGACAAAATGTCTGCTCACTGTTAATTGTGACTCGCGGGACGTATGCTTGGCTTGTGTGGTTAGACGATGTCTTCCCAAATGATCTGACCGTGGAGTGAAGTTCTCTGTGGTGATGCTGGCTCCGAGGGGCTGCATCCTGAAATGAGGGTGTGTTGTGATAGGGTGGGGATAACGCTCTCATGGCTAAAACCCAGCCGACCGTGTCTGTCACTCTGTACATCCAGCCATCTCACTCTAACTGTGTGAAGGCCTTCGTGTGGCTCGTCATGTAGCTTACGATAACAGGGTGGTAACACGAAGCATTTTAAAGACCCAGAGCAAGGAACATATAGTCAGGATAGGAAGGCGGCTCAGGGTGGCTGGAGGAGATGGCGGTGTCAGAAAGGCCTGCCTGGTTGGCACGGTCACGTCCACACTAGCCTCTGGCTGTGACCCTTCCTACCTGGCAAGACCTGGCTCCCTGGGGGTTGCGGCTTTGACTCTTTCAAATGAGTTGGTTTGTTTTGTGGCTCAAGTAAATGCTCCCAGCTCAAGAGACCCATGAACATCTCTTTTTTCTCCTAAAGGGAATTGAACAGCATGGGGATCTGGTATCGAATGGGCAGAGTACCAAGAAATCATGACTCATCTCAACCCACGACGCCATCACAGTCGTCAGCTGCTTCTACCCCAGCCCCCAACCTTCCCAGGTGAGGCTCCTTGGTGGTGTCTTGCGGTCACGGGGCTTTGGGTGTGCATTGCAGAATACGCCACTTCGATCTGCTAAAATGGTGTGGGATACAGATGACACTTGTAGAAGGTTAGTCTAAACTCATGCCTGAGGGGATTTTTAAAGCCCAGGTAGAAATCTGTGCATTACCTGAATGTAAAGGTCATTCTGTCTTCTATCTTGTGCATAGGCTGCAGGCTCCTGAAATAGCAGAATATGCAACTTAAAATGGGCTTGGTATTTGAAAGAGCTCGTGGATATGTATAGATTCATGTGTGGTAGCCACATGGCTGGGATTTCTGGCCTCCAGTAGGCAGAATTCCCTCTCTGCCTCAGCCAGCGATATATTTGAGGCTCAAAAGTGTCCCTCAGTAACTATGTTCACTGCTATATGGTTTCTTGCCCAATGAGCTACAAGCTGAGAAGTAGATCAAACTGCAGGCCACTCTTCACCTAGCTTCAGTTTTAGTAGAGGGAGTATCAGTCCACATTTTTTGCAAAAAGCAGATGATGAGATGAATCCTGTCATATTAAAAACCCATGCAGTGGACATGGTGGCATATTATAACCCCAGCACTGTGGGAGGCTGAGGCAGGAGGATCAGTGTGAGTTCAAGACCAGCCAGGGCTACATAGTGAGTTCAGCCTGAACTATGTAGCAAGTCCCTATTTCATAAAACCAAAACAACAACAACAACAGCAACAACCACAATGAGAAACCCTGTGCATCACTAGTAGTAAATTGTTTTGGGGAAAGGAACAAACAGCAATGTGGACTGAATTTGAGAAAGGGATTACAAATGTAAATAAATAGCAAAGAAGGTGAGGTGGTGTCATTTGCAGATTAATGTCACGTAAATGGGAATGTACCACAAACGTTCTACGTGGGTGAATACGTATGGGCAGACCCTTTCAGGAGCAGGATGGCACAGTCACTGGGGTGTGGAATCACCTGTGCTCAGGATCCGGCACCTGTGCTGGGGTCAGCTCTGGATTGGGCTCATTGCGGAGCCTGGGAAGCCACATAGTTCCACAGTGGTTACTGCTGCTCCTGGTTGACATTACAGAATCTGGAAAGGCCCAGAAATGGGGACCACCTGGGCCTGTGTTAAATTCCCGTTGCTTAAGGATGGAGCTGCATTTCCCAGGTGCTCTTCCAGATGCTTGCCTGCCAGAGGGGGAGGAGGGTCACTTGTCACTGAGGCCACAAGGCTGAGCACACCCGCCGCTGGTTGCCCAGTGGAATCAGAGGGTATCGGAACAAAGTGTTTATAAGGCTTATATATTTTATAACCTCTGTTGTACAGTTTAGGGTTTACAATGGCTGCAAGGAAATTGGATCAGTTTTGTTTTACTTGCCAAATAAAACAAATGTCAAATTAGTCAATATAAAATGTATTCTAATTCGGCTGAGTTAAGCCAGCCAGAGTGTGGTAGGATCACTGAATGCACATTAATGCTGCCAGGTAAAAACCACTGTCTATCCTGAGCCCTCCTCTCCCCGGTACTGTGATTTACGGGTGCTGTGTGCACCCAGTCAAGCTCCTAATTCACCATGGGTTATCATTTCTGTCCTTTGTGAGATTTCTCAGCGTTTTTTTTTTTTTTCCAGTATTGTTTTCCTACCCAAGATCTCTGATTTTTAAAAAAATGAAATGCTGAGTACTTGCCTGAATTTTCATTGAAGACTTAGGAGAGGACAAGTGCATTATTTCATTCCTGGAGGCATCAGGGGTCCGTAAACTTCCCAGAAGAGGCAGTTCAACCTTTTCTGTCCCGGGCAAAGGTCAAGGCCCTCCCCAGGCACGGAAAGCTCCAGCCCCCAGGATTTCCCGGTCCCAGCGCCCTCCTGGTCCCCAGCATGTATTCCTGAGGACGTGTGCTGCAGCCCTTCCAGATGACCCTCAAATCTCTGAGCACCATGGGACCTTTTCAATTACAAGAGCAACACAGGCTTGTAGAAAATTGGTAGAATGTAGAAAATAATAGGAAAGCAAATTCCATTTGCGGGGGCAAATATTTGCTCCTAAGCTTTTGTTGTATTTTCCTTCAAATCTTTTTCCTGTGTACTTTTTACATAGGCCATGCCACAGCATGTTATAGCAAGTTTGTGATTTGTGCTGTTTTTTCGTAGAGTATTGAAACCGTAGGCGTTAGAAACAGGTCTTCAAGTGTGCTCTTTGTGTGGACAGGGAGCGAGCCGCTGAAGCCAAGGCCGTGCAGAGAGTAGTGACGCAGCGCCCTCTACTGACTGACTAGGAGGTGGCTGGAAGGAGTGTAGGGCCGGGAGCACCAGCATTCTCCCCGCTGACCAGAGCTGGGAGGAAGAGGGAGGAGCCCAGGCAGACGAGCTGCCTTCCCGAGCCTGGGCATGCCTCCCTAAAGCTAGAGAATGCCTCCATTTTTTCTGTCATCACTCCTACAGAGCTGTCATCTCAACATGATTTCAGACAAAAGGGTCTTTTGGTGGACTTCATGTCCTAGCGATGCCTTCCCTTTTCAGAGGCAGGCACCGCCCTGGGAATAAGAGCATCCTGCCTGTGGTTGCCTCATTACTGCGGAAGATGCTCGTGGTGAAAGGAGACGCCAGTCCCTGGGGAGACGGGTCCTCCTTGGCCCTGTCCAGTGAGCTGGATGCCATGTGTGGCAGAGTTTGTGTCAAAAGGCAGCATAAAGTGGCCAGCAGAGCTCCTGTTCCCTGCGCTGAGTCTTCAGCTCGCAGCAGACAGTCACACTTGCTCTTGGCAGGTGACAAGTGGAGAAGGGCAGGCCGCTTCCCCAAGACATGGAGCCCCGTTTTCCAGATGGGCAGTGGATGCCTGTCCTCCGCGAATCCCTCATGCACAGTGTCCAGCTGGGAGAGGAGGGCAGCTGGCCCAGGGCCCCGCGTATCCATTCCCTCACCCCTCTTCTGGTCCGGCCTGGCTGTGAGTCAGCCTTGAGCGTCAGCAGGTAGGGTTTTCCCACTGCTCAGCAGTGCTGCTGCCTTGGACAGGGGTGTGGATAGGGGAAGCACCTGCCCGGCTTTGGCAGCACCCCCGCCATACAGACACATACACAGGGTCTCACGCTGCACCCTGCCTGGAAGGAAGGTTCTTCTGCTGCCAGGACCAAGGTCTGGAAAAGCTCCGGGAGGCAGAGGGATCCAGTAGATTGAGCACCAGGAGCCCCCAGTGTGGACAAGCAAGTGGTTCTCTGTTAAGGGGAGGCAGTCCTGGTGGGCTGTTGCCCCTGGCTTGCTGAGCAGTGGAATCAGCACTTGATAAAGACGTCAGAGGTGTGCTTATCAAACGTGGAGATGACACAGAGTCATTAGGGAGCTCCGACGTGCCAAGTGACAGAATCAATACTCCACATCTCCTCACAGCCACCGCACCCGCAGGATCCAAGGGATGAGAGGTGATGAGTGCACGCTAAGGCACTCAGGGTCATCCAGTGCATGGCACAGGAGCTGATCCAAGGAGGCGTGAGCCAGCAGCGTGTGTGTGAGGCGACACGCTGGGCACCAGGCTAGGGAGGGTGGAACACAGCCTGCTGTGTGTAGCCAGGGACCTGTCCCTGCCCCTGCCCCTGCCACCTTGTCAGGTGGCATTACTACTGCACGGCCCACGGGACAGCTGCCTGAGTACAGGGCTGAGCTTTGACCGGAGCGGTGGCCAGCTTTGGGTACCTACTGATCCGTACATCAAGGAGAGTAGAAGTGTTTTGGGGTGGGATCGGAAGGAGAAGGCTTCCGGGAACCACCAGAACCTAATGCTGGATATTCTCAACATTTGTAAAAATTAATAAATAAACCTACCCAAAATGGAAATTCTGTGGTGTTGAAGAAGCTGTGGGGGTGGGGGTGGGGCTGGGGGTCATGAGCTCCTGACTGCCTAGGGGGCCAGATAGCGTTAGAGTTTTTCAGGCCTTTGATGGCTTTAGAGTAATCACGCTTCTTAAGTGTTATTTAAGAAATGTACCATCTTGCTGAGTGTGGTGGCGCACCCCTGTAATCCTGGTACTCTGGGAAGCTGAGGCAGGAGGATCAAACGTTCAAGCTCACCTCAGCAACTTAGCAAGAACCTGTCTCAAAATTTTTTTAAAAAGGCTAGATTCAATCTCCTATACCACCACCAAAATAAAAGTACCATCTTCCCTGAGAAATTCAGGTTCAGCAGAGTCCTTGGTAAGAGTAACCTGGGGGACCTGCGGTGGGCAGGGAGGACACAGAGAGAGGGCACTGGCCTCTGAGGCTTGCTCCTGTGGCTGCGGTGACTGCCTTCCTCTCTCAGTGCTGATGGTGCTGACGGAGACCTGGATGGTGGCCGAGAGGGTGCTGTGGCACCAGCCCAGGATAGAGACACGCAGAGGCCTTGCAGGACACGGGCTCCAGTAGTGTCCACACGGAGTCTCGGCCCAGAGTTGGCATGTGGGAGCCGACACATGCCGTTTTGCCCCACTCAGTGTCTGTCTCAAATGAGTACCTGGACCTCAGCCTGCTGGAAGCTGCAGGATGTTTCATGTAGATGTGGCCTTTGGCCGGGGTTGCCCTAAAAATTCTGGAATGTTGGTTCCAGGAGCTGCACTCCCTTCCCGTCTGCCTGGGCTGTCCAGCTGTGCATACCACGGTCCTGAGGGAGAAGCCACTGCCCACAGGCCCTGGGCCATGGCCACATCCTTTGATCCCCTTCTCTGATCCTATCCTTCCCTAGGAGAAAGGGCTCATTTCCCACCAGACCGTGAAGCACATGGGTCATTTCCCAGTTGCCGGGCTCACAGTGTCCCTTGAGGTGCAGCCTACCTGGCCCTATCCCACATGTCCCTTAGATGGTGGCCTGGCGCTCCTCTGAGGTATACCCGTGATCTCTGGTGATTTGTCAGCTTCCAGTGAGTTGTCAGTCACAGGTCCCAAAGTCTGTTTCTCGGTGACAGACATAATTGTACTTAACTTTTTGCATGGATGTTATCAATCTGTGACAGCTACTCTGGGAAATGGGGC